AATGTGGGAGCATGAAATTCCACAATTTATTTTAAAAGCTAAATTAAAATAAATAAACAAACTAATAATAAATCTACAAGTGTCACTAATACATGTAAAGGGAAGTGAGGACCACTTGGAGAGTATGGGACCATACTTGTTCCCCACTCCATACTCTCCTTGTGCCACATGTCCCTCACACTTAAACCCTCCCTTCACATGCTTCCCCTTAGCCCACAACCCAGCTACCCGCACCAAGGTGATGCGGGCTGCTGCTGCTCGCAGCTAGCAAGCCTCGCACGCTTGTGCGGGCTGCTGCTGCTTGCGGCCAGCAAGCCACGCACACCTTGTGCGGGCTGCTGCTGCTACTTGCGGCCGTGGCTACCCTTGGCTGCTAGCATTGGTGCACTAGCATGCACTAGCCAGCCTAGGCTCGGCTTGGTGCGCATGCTAGCCACATATGCTAGTAAATTATGCCCCTAGCACTCGGATGCTCGGGTCATTCCGATGCTAGGTGTATTTTAGGAAATAATGTCGATTAATTATTATTTGCACGTCTCGTCTTTTATTATTTTGACTCGACTTCCGACGCTCGGTTTCGACGCTCTAAGATCGAATTTCCGACGTCTAAATATGTAATACTCAGGCGACTCATTAATTTCTTCCGAATTAATTCGTCGTGTTGGTTTGTTAATTGCATGGGTGTGACCCAAAGGGTTCTGTCAAGATTAAGCTGTAATATTAAATTATGCATTAATATTACTGATCGGAACCTGCCTCCACTTAGGCATTCCGATCACTTGATCTTACTGAATATATTAGCTTTCTAATAATTCTGAACCCACTATCAGAATAATACACTTGTTTGAAGGATACCATTCCTTTCATCAAGGTATAAACGTTCCAAGAGTTTTGGTGCGTATCCTCTTAGACTTTACGTGATTTATCAAGTTAACATAAGATGACATCAACCAAACAATCAAGAATAAACGTAATAACATTCAACACTTACTTCCTATTCATTCTTGAATTAATTAGTGACCACATACTATCTATCTATATCTATACTTAGTATTTAAAAACACAAACCACAAATTTTTCATATGACACATGGCATTACAACTCACAAGTCACTAATCACCCCATATTCCACATGTCACCTCCCTTAATATATACTTCGTATGTTTATGTATTTATGCAATCTACAACTTGCAAATTCAAGTAAAAAATGAAGTGTTTTATTTCTACCATAATAAAATAATGTTTAATTAATTAGTAAACATTACATAAACATATGAATTACTAGAAAAATTGTCTTTTCATATCCTAAACTTTAAATATAATTTAAACTGATATGTCATTTCATATCCCACATTCTTCATGTATATATATCTAACAAATTAAAATTCCTTCATGTTCTTTCACATTTCTACCCTTACTCTTTTTTTCTCTTATGTTTTAGAAATGAAACAATTATGGAGTACTTTGCATACCTACATATAAATATAATTAAACCAAGTAATAACCCGTGCATTGAACGGACTAAGTAGCTAGTTTATTTTAATTAAGGTTCCTTGCCTAGTTTTGTGCATAAAATTGCACAATTACTACCTTGGTGCTTAGAATGCACAACTAAACTCCTTGACTCGATCTTAACTTACTTGAGTGAGTAAATAAATAAACTAACTTCCTTGACTCAACACCAATAATCAATGGGTGATAATAAAATTCATCAATCATGTTCAATAATTCTAATTATAGCTCTTTTAAATATACAAAAGTCTTGCTTAATAATTTCATGCTTCCTTGATATTCAAAAATAAAACATACTTCCATGATTCAAATATATTCAACTTGTATCATGCTTCAAATATTATATTCACATGCTTACATAATAATTCATGTTCAACCAACATCAATTCCAAGCATATAATCAACCAAACGTGCTACTAATTCATCACTTTAATCACAATTTACAATCCTAGTATGACACTACGAATACACAAATATTCTTGTGCACATACGTACCTTGAATAACGCTTTAACTCGGCCACACTTGCTAGAAATCACCTAGCTCAAAACTTCCTAAAATTAAAAATACATAACTATAATTAATCCACTATTCTCACAAATTTCCAGCAACTAAATACTATTTGAATCATACTCATCACCCCTTTTAATGGCAATAAAGCCATGAAATTTTTTCTTTAAGTGGGTACTTTAAATCCTTTCAAAAAGACTTGATTTTCATTACTTAAATAAAATTCCAACATGCTTATTTAGTATAAAACGTCACTTTTAGACTAGGAAATCATATATAAATTATTAAATCCTTTTTCCTTTTTATGGGTAATCAAACTCTAACTCCATTATTAAAAAATAGTGTGTGTAAATAAATTCCAGCATTAAATTGAAGGCTTTAAACTCATCAAAAACATTATTAGACCATGAATTAATCAACAACAACTACCTAGCCTCAATCCCTAACCAATTATACAAAATCCCCAAGTTATAGGATTTTTTGGGATTTTTAATTTAATAATAATCTGAAATTTATGTTAATATATTAGCAACATCAAAATCCCGAAATCAATAACAAAACATAATAAAAATCATGCAGTTAAAACACTAAAACAATATAATTAATTTTAGGATCAAAAAAAGTTTTTTTTTCATACACACAAACCATAAATGAGAGACAGAAAGAGGAGGAAGTGCGCCGGCCGCCAGCTGGCTACCGGCGCTGCTGCTGCCGTCGGTGGTGGTGGTGGTGGCGTCGGTGTGCTGGCCGCGCAAGAGGAGAGAGAAGGAGAGAGTGTGTGGCATGGGATTTAAGGGGAAAAAAGAAGAAAAGGAAAAGAAAAGAGAGAAAATAAAGAGAAAACCTTTTAATTTTTTTTTTTTTTTTTTTTGTGAAACCTGACAATTATGAACTTGTGTGGAAAAATCTTGAGATTTTAAAGTATTTATACTCTCCTTTATAAAATAAAACTCATTTTTAGAACTTTGTCATTACTAATTCCTACTCCCTTACACATTCTCCCTTTGGGCCAACTTATTGACAATTAGTTGGTTCACTCATTTAAATAGGATTGACCCAATTAAAAAAAACTTTTGTTGCCTCAATTTATGATTCATTTTATTTATACACACTTACAATATATTTAAATAAATAATTTCTTGTTAAAATGAATTAAATTATAAATAAAATAAATAATTTTTATATATATAAGTATATTAAAATACAGAGTATTACATATTTATAGGGGGTGGGAATTGTGCCCCCTTAGGGTTACTACCCTAGAATTTTGTGCTTCGATTGGCGACGCAATAAGAAGAAGGCACGTGTCCTGGGGAGGCGCTGTTTTGCGGCTTTCTCGGGATTTGGGCCTCTTGATGTAAGGAGACCCTTTACTCTCTTTTTCATGTGCTCCTTTTTAGGGTTTTCACATGTCATCTTCTCATAGGTACATGTGATGCCTTTAAATTTGGGCCATGTGTCTATGGGATTGGACCACGTATTGGGGGTATTTTTACCCTAAACACTATGTTTTATATGGATCACTTTCATGTATAAAATGGGTAACAATTTGCGCCTACAAAGGGTAACGTTTTTGTATAAAAAGGGTAACATCTATGCGTCTGAGCATACAAAAGGGTAACATTTGTGCGTACTAAAAATCACATTTATGCATAAAAAGGGTAACATTTGTGCATTCAAAGGGTAACTTTTTTGCATACAACCTAAATTTTCTCAAGTCTAATTCGTGTTAATTTTAATCAATTATGGGTCGATTATACAAGAATATGTATTTTAATTAATAAGAAGGTTTATTGTATAGAAACTATCTTCAGTTTCATTTGATTTGGATGTTTGTTCTGTATTTGAATCAATTGATTTACGAGGAAACATTTAATTTTCTATATGTGTCAGGATTTTTATTATCGTCAAAAATTAATTGGAAGATATTCATCTCCAAAACTATTTGTTTCTTCTTCTTCTTCTTCTTTTTCTTCTTCTTCTTCTTCTATAATCGATCGGTTTAAATTGATTTCAACAAAAGAATTCGATTTCTCAAAATCACCTAACAATGGAGTTTCAATTTGCCTCTGATTTTGTAGAAATTTAAGGATCAAATTAATGCAATTTGAGGTATTGAAGTTCGCAGATGAACTCTCCATTGATGATCAAAGCCTCAAGGAACTCGAATTCGCGTTATCTGTCTGCGTTTTCTCACTTTCAAATTCGCGTGAATTTGGCATTTTGGACAAGTTTTTCAAAACTGGTGGCAGTCTCTCTCCATGGTTGTCCAAAAGTAACCAAACAAAAAGCGGAAAGCCAAGATCTCTTTGTTATTCACTAAAGTTGTTTCTTGCTACGCGAATTGGATGATCGAAGCATACTAATACTTTCAAATCCACCAGTCGGGTACGAAGACAGGGGAGAAGGCTAATCTCTCTCCTCCATTGTTGTTCTTTAATTTCTTATTTTGAGCTCTAATTTGATTTTCGCGTGTTTTATAGAAATTGAAAAAAAAATGTAAATTAGCTCACACGTGTGCGTGCCGTCGATTAACAATAAATTTATTGTAAATCGGGGATATGTAAAAGTTTTTGTAGGAGGGGGGACCAAGCAAGCAACATGGATCAATTAGAAGGTGGTATCGAAATTTCAATCAGTAATTAAACAGAATATTCTACGTTTCTTAGAAAACTTCCATGGCAAGAATTTCTGAATCATTAATTTTTGAAAGGCTACCAACTATAACTACGAAATTTTTTGGCTAAACTGCACTAAAAGTTTACTAGTCCCTTTGTAAACAACAGGTATGATACACTTCATTATATGCATCAAAAATTTGAAACGTTGAAAAAACGAAACAGGTTGTACATGACAGTTTGCTCTAGACAAAATCCAGCATCAATTTCATCAAAATCGTTCATCAGACCATATTTTCAAGAAGCTCAATTATTTCAGTTTGACTACCATGACCACGTATGAATGCAAAATTGCAAATATCTTCCAAAATGCTGCAAAGAAGTGAAAATCAAATATTTACCGAGCTGATCCTCCAAAAATCATAAGAGAAAACCTACCTACATTATCATTATCATCATCATCATTACACATGGACACTAAAATTTTTCTGGTCATGGACCCAGGAAAAGGGGGAAAGACAATTCAGTCTTCTATCGTTCCAGCACTCCGAAACAAAATTTCCTCCAAAACTAGGAGGGCTGATGAATCATTCAAAATTTATATATACAGTTATAGGATGAAACTCGTACATGAAACTCACAAACATGTTGAAGCTTTTAAAGTGCGTGGATTTTGTCCTAGGATGATCACAATTACAGTCACATCATCGTGATATTTTCTCCTCCTTCCTGGTGGAATATTCAAGAGCTCTTCCATGCTGAATCCTGGGAGAGCACAAATAAAAACATTAGATAACAATTAAGAGCCTAATTAGGGTTTTTAAAAGTTGTAATTATAAAAAAATCAACCAAGATCAATAGATAAATTAATTAGTTATTCAAAAACTTGAACTTCAGATGATTTATGATGCCAAAGAAATTAATGAATGCTTTGTTTTTAAAAGTGTTACCCTATGTTATCCGGACTCGAGTACCCATGTTCGACACGAATACGTGTCCAAGTGTGCAACTCGACTATTTTATGAAAAGGAAAAAAAAAACACTTTGATTTTGAACTAAAATGAAGTGCAAGGTGTCATACCCATATCTAAGTGTCGAGCGTTCAACGCAGGTACTTGAGGTAAAATAAAGAGTTTAAGTAACATAGGTGTTACCATTTTGACAAATAGTATTAGCCATTAGGTAGTTTAATGGAGTATAGTACAATTGGATGTAACTGATATAGTTCTAGTATCAAACAATTGTAAGAAAAGATAGTGGAATTAATAGATTATTGTAGAGTAAGCTATGTGAGATGAGAGGAAATTATACACTTAAAAAAAAAAAAAAAAAAAAAAAAAAAAAAAAAAAAAAAAAACTCAATATGAATGGATCTGTGATATGAGTGGGGACTACGAGAGGGCAGAGATATAATATTAAAAGATTGTCATTTGCCAAAAAAAGTGAAAAACATATATATATATATATATATATATATATATATATATATATATATATATATATATATATATATATACACACCTTATGTTCTAACTATGTTTTAAATTTTTTTTCAGTTTATGTTCTAAAGTTTTTCTTATATCCTAAATTTCTTTTACTTATGTTCCAAATTATTTCCTACTCTGTATGTTCTAAATTTTTTTTAAGCTTATGTTCTAAATTATTTTTTTAGCTTATGTTCTAAATTTTTTCATATGCTATAAATTATTTTTTCAACTTATGTTCTAAATTATATTTCTTATGTTTTAAATTTTTGTTTGCTTATATTATAAATTTTTCCCATCTTCTAATTTTTTTTTTCTTATGTTCTAAATTATTTCGACTTATGTTCTAAAATTTTTCCATTATTCTAATTTTTTTTTTAATGTTCTAAATTTATTTTTCCTGAGATTGGTTCTTATATAAAATTGAGTTCTTATATAAATGAGGTTTCTTACATGAGCCTAAGTAATCTTAACCATTCATTTAAAACAATCTAACTACTGGGATTGAAAAATATTAATTCATACTCTTTCATACCATCAAACCCAGTTTCATATAATTCTTCAGCCTTTCTCTCTCTCTCTTCCTTCCACAAGCATTCTCTCTCATAAAATTATGGATTCTTGTTTTTATTTAACAATTAATTGTAGTATAATTAATTCAAATTGATTATTACAATATTTGGCTGCAATTTTATTGAATTATGAAGACATTATAGAGTTCTAGAGAATCAAATAGTTGCCGACATATATGTTGCGGTTATATATTTTTGATCTAATTGCAGGTTCTACTCTCTGCTCAAATAGTTGATTAAGTTGTTTTTCAACCAATCAAAATATTTGCACATTCAATGTAATTATATAGCACATTTAATTTTAAATTTATGCATATTTGAAGTTTTTTAAAAATAATTATGCAAATTTAGCCATGAAAATATGCACATAGTTGAAAAAATATATGAACATATTGCTAGACTAGTATTCTGTCATAGGCAGTTAATTCTGTTGGATTAGGATTAAGAATTATATGGTCATATAAAATTCTAGAAAAACAAATACAACACACATGATTTTTTTTTCCCTCACATTTTCTTTAAAATATATGCACATTTAGTACAAAAAATTTGGACAAAAAATCCTTCTCATTTGACCCTATATATAATTTAATACTAAATGTGCATTTTTTTTAAACTGAATGTGCATAATTGTTTTTCAAACTGATAAAATTTTTTAATTTTCTAGAAAAATGAAAATCATGCACATTTGTTCAAATATTATGCACATCAAATTTGATTCAAATTTTTTTTTTGCACAGTTAGTTAAAAAAATATGCACATTTAGTACAAAAATTATGCACAAAAACTCTTCCTCATTCTTCTCATTTTAAGGAACTTCTCATTTGACATCACTTAAACAAACTTAGAGAGAGTATATGTTTCAAGTTTTTTCTTCATAAGACAATGAACTTATCCGAGTTTGACCTAGCACAAATTAGCTGTATCACAAAGGATAAGAGAGTGACAGTATTTTGTCAATTTTTTATAAAGTAAATCAAGTTTATGAAACAGATAAGTAAAACAGATACAGGGGACTAATTAGATGTAGTGTTATGGTACTAGGACAAAGCTATTTGCTAGCTTAATCTACCAAGCAGTCCAAACCAGAGTAGGTGGATCTTAATTTAAACTAAGGTCTTATACTTTCAAATTCGACTTAAGGTATGCATTTTGTGGCAATTTTCCCAATTTATCTACAACAGTAGTAATATCACAAAATGAGAATTTAATTTTGTGACATTAAAAAAAGAAAAAGCAGATAGAAGAATCATAAAGCATACACGACTGCAAATGGAACAATTCAGTGAATGGTACCATCTTGTTATATGTAAAAACTACATTGACATAACAAGAAAACATACCTGCACAATCTGCAGCTCTAATGACAAGTTGTTCCAGCAGAAACTTTGCTGGATCACCCGAAGGATTTTTCAATATGAACAAATGCACCAGTCTAACGACTTCTTCATTGGTAAAAAAGTCAAACAAACCATCACTGCCAAGTACAACAAAGCGATCTGATCTTGAGATTCTGTGAACGTTGATAGAAGGACTTGTGGAGACATAAGGAGGACTTATCAAATTTCGAACTCTGAGAATTCCCATCAATGCATCATTCAATACTTTCTGCAAACACCCACAACAACATTTTATCGAAGCTCACAAAAGAGGGGGTAATCATTGTGCCAATGCCACTTTAAAATATAATCTCGTATTTAATTGTGTCGATCAGTTAACCTAATTAGTATTTGTAGTAGTCACTCGATTGAGTCGATTCTCACATGAGACTGTAGTTAAAAGAACACAGGATTGACTGTTACTTGTATAAGAACTAATTTGTCGCATAAAATTGTTATAAGAAAATAATAATAAATAGATAAAATAAAAAGGACAAACATAATTCAGACGCCTTTTCAAGTTTCAGCTCTCCAATAAAGACCTGAGACAGAAAGAGTACTCCATATCACTACAGAAAAAGGCTAAATGGAAACCATAATTTATTAAATCTAACTAAAACTTTCTCTTAGACATTTTCATCACTACAAAGTTAACGACTAAATTAGAATTAGCAGCATGGCACATTGAACAGTAAGTCAGCAACTACGTCAGTAGTTTAATAAATAATATGCCCTAAACTAAGTTATTACTGACCTTCTTCAAGTAACCAACACCAAATGCACGAGTGACCTTCAGCTTTCCTTTCACTTTCCCTGCAGTAATTGTTGAAGGATCATCACGATGATTTGATACAAGTTTAGATCTCTCAACTTCATTGTCAGTAGTATGAATATCAGTAAGTTGGATTGCTTTTAAATTTATAGTCTCTCCAACATCACAGCCACTGCTCTGTGTAGCAACAACAACTCTACTATCACCTAAATTCATTGTATACAAATCTTTCCCAACAAGCAGTGCAACCAAAACACAAGATCCAACAGAAACGAGATCAGGGCGGTCTTCCATATCCTGCTCAACCATGGACAGGAAGTCAATCTCAGCTTGATTAAGAGCGCGTTGGAGACACTCTAGCACCCCTTTTTTAAAAAAATCTGATGATGTGTCTATCTCGGTATTACAACTGTGACTTGAAGCATCAAAGTTGACATCCTTTCTACCACCTATTCTTAATATCTTTTTCCCAAATCTAGAAGTATTGTCATCATCTAGCACATTCTGGAACAACTCATCTGAAGCAAAACAATTAGATACTTCAGCTATATCATCTTTATTATCCCAATTAAATAAGTTGAAGTTCATTAGAAAAGTATCATATAATGTCCCAGCTAGGAAATCAGCTGCATCTCTCCCATTGAACCCATCATAAACCCCACAAAAGAGCCATCCATCTTCTTCAGAGCAAACAGCAATAACCCTATCTTCACCTGCAGCTCCACCAGCAACTTGCACTTCCACAGCGTTGAGAAAGCCTTCTTTTGGGGATGGAGCACTCATGAACTTAAGATATGAGTCACTTTCAGGCGATTCTCCTAGAGAAGATGGACTAACACTCAAATTTGACAAAGTACTCTGGAGAGAAGATGACAATATATCCACTTTTGAAGAAAGTGATGGAGAAGATGGAATCCTGCGGAATGAATTAGGTGAGTCCCAACTCGGCAGTATCTCTGAGCCTATTATGCCGTTGCAGATGTTTGTGTTTGCTAATGTAGTGTTAGCACTTAATGCAGCACCAGAAAGACAGGAGAAAGATCTGCTAGTTCTTCTAAGCCGAGCCTTAGGAACGATTTCATATCCATCGGAATCTTCACAGATGGCCTTCTTTCGAGCACACTGATAACCAAAACTCACTTTAATTTCACCATCAGCAGAACTAACAGGTTCACCAAACATTGCACCTGTGGACGAATAACAATGATACACAGTAACTTTTCTTTGAAAATATTATCTAACTTGAAATAACACTTAAGGTCATCGTGCATTCAGTGACAGAAAATCAGCAATTTTAGCAGTGTAGCTACACAACATCAACCAAAAATATAGTGATATCAATATGTGAAGCAAGCATACTGTATATGAGAAAAACTTATGAACAATGCTACACACTCTCTATAATGCTTCATTTATCAGTTCACTAACCCCTAATCCCTATTTATAAGCCAGCTTAATTTCCCAAAGTGATCCTCACATGGCTCACAATAGACATTTATTGCTAGATAAATAGTTGACAATATAACCAATCCGAAAGGTACAATAAAACAAGAGGGAGGAATTATCATTTAGAAGCATAAATAAGATAATCTTTATCAATAAAATACATTATAACATAATAAACTCCGTAATAAAACAAATAAAAGGAGTAGATAGATATCAAATCAGTAATCATGTAATTTCACTTTAAACAAAAGCAACATTTACATATCAAATTGCAAATATTTGCACCTTGCTAAGTGATACATAGCTTATGCTCACTTCCTTGAAAAACCATCTTATTGAACTATACAAGTCATCCTTCTTTTCTGCATCGAGTGCAAGAAATCGAGTAAATATACTACTCCGGGTACCATTTACCCACTTCATCGGTTTTAGTGCAAACAGAAACGTTACATCTATTGTGAAACAGAGCTAGTATAACACAAACCTCAAAATAATATCAACATATTTGCGAGACATCTCATAACTTCAATGTGCAAGCTTAAAAAACAAAGGCTTGTTTTAGCTTCAATACCTATCTGCTATCTCATCTTAATCAACAGGTATCTCATTCCCTTTCATCTAATAAAACTTTTGACCTAATGCCTAGTTCCCAAAAACTAATTATTTCAATTTATGTAATCAGATCAACATAATTACTTCAATGGGTCAACGATTCCTTCAATTATGTCATGAACTCTTCCTCATACAATTTCAATTTGACAAAATTGTGTCATAACATCTAAAAGTTCATCAAATTCGCTTACGAAAAACAATTATTAATCAATATTCATTAAACCCATCATCAATATCCTTAATTTGTAACCAGTTATCAGATTAACATTAGAAATTAACTGGAATCCAGCGATAAAATACAGTAAATTAAACAAAAAAAATAATAATGAAATCATACATAATTACTTCATTGGGTCAACGAATCCTTCAAATACATCATGAACTCTTCCTTTAACAATTTTAATTTGACAAAATTGTGTCGTACCATCAAAAAGTTGATCAATTTCGCTTACGAAAAACATTTATTAATCAATATGCAATAAAACCCATCATCAATATCCTTAATTTGTATCCAGTGATCAGATTAACATCGAAATTTAGAGATTAACGAGAATTCAGATATCAAATACAGTAAATTAAACAAAATAATAATGAAATCATACAAAATTCGGAAGTTTGTACCTGATATATGATTAATTCTGAAGACCCGAAAAAGGAAAACCGAGATTGCAAAACCAGATATTTAATAATCGAATTACAATTGTGAGTCAAAAGGAGAAGATAAATGAGTGGAACAGAACGGAAGAGAGTGACACAAAAAGATAAACAAAAGGTCAGAAGTGAGAAGTGCAGAATCTTGGGAGACCAACATTAATATCATTCAATTGTTATATAATTCCTCAATTTTTATTTTTATTTTTATTTTTATTTTATTATTTTATTTTTTTATTTTTTTAAGTTGACACCTTTTTATTATCACCCTTAGTCGCCTACCAACCTGTTTTTAACGCTTAATAACTTTAGTTATCAATATTGTGTAATTATAAAAAGTGGATATTAACAAAATAAACATATAAACGATTGACAAGATCCCACATGATTATATTTTATCATATCTATAAATCACAAAAGCGAGTCAAAATGTAATGTATGAATAGTATAAAAGTCAAACAATGTCAACTAAAAAAATGAAGGAAGTACTTATTAGTTAGGAAAAATATACATTAATAATGACAACTATGAGCGATTTACTTCTAAAAGAAGATTTTGTTTGAGTCCGTTTCACGTAAGTCTGGTTAATAATACATACTCCCATCCCTTATCCATTGCCATTAGTTCATTACCCATCCCCTATCGGCGATCGGCTACCTACTCCCTCCCAACTCCCAGTGCCGGCGACCCTCCCCAACCCATCGCCGGGCGCCCCTGCCGCAACCATGGCAGCTTCCAACAATTTAGGGTATCATGAATTCCGGAAGTCCGAGCTTTGATAGGAATTCTCCGCACTTAAAATTGAAGCATCAATGCTTCATCAGTTACTGTCTTCGACCTCCAAAGCCTTTAACCCCTATGATTTTATCAATTGAGTTCGTATTCTGTTGAGGATTAGGCGTAACAGGGCCTTTCTTTTTCGTCGCAAAACTCGCACCTTCATCAGCGTTGCAATCCACTTTCTTAGGCATTCCCCATGTGGATATTAGATTCAGTGAAAGAGACTAAGGGCCTGTTTACATTTACTAAATTGAGCTGAACTAAACTGGACTAATTGGAGCTGAACTGAGTTGAAATGAATATTTCATGAAAGAAGGAAATTAGGAGCTGAACTTTACTGAACTGATTGGAGTTGAGCTGAACTTAAATGAAATGAAATTAAGCTGAAGTGAGCAGGCCCTAAATGGTTAGATATTAGCTCCGTGAGGTCAGGTTTTAATTTCTCTGTTTTTCTCAATTTTTTAGATTAAATTCTTCTCATATGATACATAGAACCTAATATCTATTATATATAAATTATAATATAATTTCTTATATATATAATCTAATATATGAGTATTATAATCTAATTTCTGACAATTAAGATCGAACTAATATCTAACATTTGTAATCTAATACCTGATAAGTATAATATAATATCTGACCATTATTATCTAATTTTTTACACTTATAATCTAACATTTGACCATTGTTTTGGGTGTTTTTGTCCCTCGGGAGAGTTACAGCACGAAGACTGATCCGACGTGAGCTGTACCTGCAAAACAAACGGAGACACCAGTTGGGTGGTGCTCCGCCTCCGACGAGCAAGTTAGTAACTTGAAGGGAGAGAAAAAGGTGCTGAAATTTAGGTGGGTATCTGCTCGGATTCCAAGCTCAGATGTCTCCATCACAGGGTCTGTTTGTAATAAATGGTAAAACGTGACCTCCAAAAGAGGGAAATCTCCCTATTTATAGGGTCCTCGGGATTTGTGCCCCTGATTAGGTCACTGATCCCTAATCATTGGTGGGCTGCGTCACTTTGCGACTTTCTCGGGATTTGGGCCTGAAGGCCGCCATTTTCCCCCTAATTTCTGGAGTGACACGTGTCAGGCAGGGATTGGTCCACTTTGGGCCATCCTGAGGCTGACACATGTCATCCTCTAATTGGACCACGTGGCGGGGTAAAATTACCCTAAAAATTTACCCCTCACAGATGTGACGTGGCACGCCACGTGGCATCTGTAACACATGTCACGCTCCGATTTGTGGTAATTTTACTATCAAAGAGTAACCGTTCGCCTTCCGAGTAAATTACGGGAATGCCCCTGTATTTACCCTCTATATATAGCCGTTTACCCTCGTCATTTTGTACGTTTACAAAAATTTTCAAGAGAGCAGAAGGCATCCGTTTGAGTCAGGCGCAAGCAAGAAAGCTCGTTCTTCATCAACCCAGTCGGACCCGTCTATCTTCAGATATCACATCTAAAGGTACCGTCTCTACCTCTCTCAGCTCTTTTACTTGTTTCACCGCTTGTACATATTTCTCGCAATAAATGGATGCATCACCAACATACACGGCACAGCCTAGGTTAGTGTCCAGCCGGTCACCAGGGATGGCTGAGTCTAGGACTGGGAGTGCCGTCTCGGGGTGTTGGGACCACCCTTTGCCTTGGATTCCGACCATTTATGTGTCTGTGTAGGACACAATGGCTTGACTATGAAGACGACCACCGATCCAAACTACAGAAGCGAGGGCTCAGGCGGCCAAACGCTTGAGGGAGATACGTCTGATCAGAGAAACCAGAAGGCTCTGGAGAGATCCCCTCCGCGTGCCCCTTTAACTCCCGCAGATTCCTTTTTGGAAGAGTGCGACCAAGGCGGCGATGAGGCCATCTCAGCTCCTTTGACCCAAAATAAGGAGGAGACGGAGAGTGACAGCTCCGCCTCCACCTCTAAGAGCAGCGACGACCTGCCCCCGCTTGAGGATAGCGAGGAGGAGGAGAGAAAGAAATGGAGGGAAAAGGACGATCCCTTCAAAATTCACGTCTCCTCCAAGGACAGGATTTAAATGGAGGAGAACCTGAAGAACTTTACACAAATGCACCCGTTAGGAGACGGGTACAGAATCAGAGTGCCGCCTGAGGACGACACCATCACCTGGGAAGACGATCAACAGAACGCCAACAGCTACTTCGGCTGTTATGAGGCGGCGTTCAAGGCCGATCTTCGCTTTCCCCTTCACCAGGCGATGAAGGCAATCTTGAGAGGCTACGGCCTCGGAGTCTGGCAACTTACCCCCAACTCTTGGGCAAACATTTTGGGGTATGTTGCCGCCTGCGAGTTCCAGGGGCTCCAACCCGGCTGGGAAGCTTTTGCTAGGACGCATTATCTTAGCCGAAGCCTAGGTGATTGGAGGGCGTGGTACACTTTAACCACACATCCCCAATACATGATGACCTTGGACAAGGTCTCAAAGTTCAACGGCTGGAAGCACAGGTTCTACCTGATGTTAGCCCCCAGCAAGCGGGAAAACTATGAATTCCGCCAGAACAATAAGAAGCCCGACCTGATGGGCCGGAAATGCGCTCTTCCCCGGATCTCGGATGAGGATTTTGACAAAATCATTGAGGCAGACTTTTTCGGCCTCACAGACGCGACCTTGTCAACTGGAGAAACAATAAAAGTTCCCAAGAACTGGATCCCAAAGAACGCCTGGTTCAGGGACGAGTGTTTCTTAGTCGCCTGCGAGCTAGGACACATGTTTACCAAACGTATGCGCCTGAGTTTACATCCGCCTGTAGTGCTTTTGTGTCAGAATTAATTTATGACATTGACCAATCTCTTTCTTTTTTACTGAAGAAGCTTTAAACATGTTGCAGACGGAGAAGACTCCCAAGCGGTCCTCTGCAGTCATCCCCAAGGAGCTTGCGGAAAAAGCTGCGGCCGCAGTCAAGGCCAAGGTAAAAAACGCCTGACCCTTTCTTAGATTGGTCTCAAAGACTATTTTCTCCGGATGCTAACTTTGACTTGGTTATTTTCGCAGGGGGAGAGGTTGGAAAGACGTTTGAGAAAAATCTCAAACGGGCTAGGGAGGAAACCCCCTCCATTCTCAACAAAACCAAAAAATCCACCTCCGCCTCAACTCTTGGCGCCTCAGCCGGGAATCAACATATGCGGATAGGGGGGCGAAACGAGAGGGTAGGCGGCAGCCTGGGCCTCAACCTCGTCAACCCCTTATCAGCAATCGGGGGGTTCACCACGCTTGCAAACGGCTCCCGCTTGGCCGGCTCTGAAGGTAAGAACCCTTTTGAATCCCCGCCTGAGTTGGGGTGGCATTTGCGAGTGAAATCCCACTCCCAACAGACGTCATCCTCAGACGGTCGGCAATAGATAGGTGCTGCCTTAATTTTGCTCTCATCACCTATTGATTATGGTGCAGATCAATCTCCCCGCTGGCCAGATGTCCAGAAGCATGCCAAGGCCATGCTTGACGCCGTCCACAAGAGGGATAAAGAAAACATCCCTTGGATAGAGACGTTCAATCTGGAACGCATTCTATCCCTTCTTCAAGCATAGAATGACACCAAATTTGTTTGTCGACTTTCCTCAGGCATGGAAAGTATTATCCGGTAGCTTTCTTCAGGCTTAGAAAGCTACCAAGCTCTTCAGTCGGCTTTCCTCAAGAATGGAAAGCGTTTCAACTAATGTCACTCGGTGGATTCCTTCAAGCTTAGGAAGCTGCCAAATTCGTTCGTCACCAATACACTGGTGCCAGATACGTATTCTATCCCTTTACTCTTTTATCTGTGGAATTAACATTTTTCTGCAGGTATCGGCGTATACAGAGTGATTTAGGATCGCAGAACGTCTTAAATAATTCTCCGTCCCTATCGGCTACTTTGACTATCGTTTTCGAAACTGACGTTTCTACAAACTCAGTCAAAGTGGGGGCTTCTGTAGACACCTAAAAATGTCTCCCCAAAACCAAACCCAATAATGAACAACCTTTCACCGCCACTATTGGTCGTGTTCAGTATTTAATCCCGAGAGTGCTTAAAAAATCGTATTTGATTAAATTCGTATCTTTGAACAGTCCATAGATTAGCCTTGATGTTTAGTAAAAGCATAGTTTTAATTTCAGCCCAAACTTATTATTTAATTTTAGCCCAAACATTTTTTATTTTATTGTTTTATTATTTATTTTT